TTTACATATTCAAATAACATAACCTCATTACTGACCTGAGGCTGAAAATTGTTGGGTTGGTACTTCTGAACTTCACGAAGAAATTGACGAAAATTAAAACATGTTCGTCAAGAATGAACTTGATGAATAAATTCATGAAGTTATTTGACAGCAAATTTGGTGCATTACACTTGTCGAATTTCTCGATGAAGCGACTTCATGAATTAATTGATCAATAAATTGTCAATGTAAAACAGGTATTAATGGTATCTCATACATAAAAAAACACTTTAAGGAGGTTCGATACCAAAAGAAAAATGGTAAGAATGTTTTCAAAGCAATTGAAATCTGTTAATAAATATGCAAACTGACTTGTGTAAAAATATCAGATCGATTGACAACGTAGTTTTTTTGAAAAATGATTTTAAAAATTATGCTTTTTTACACAGGCTCTTATGGGAGTTGGGAAAAAACTTTAATCAAACGTGAATATTGCTCTTAAAAATGGTTAGGATCGGGAAAATAAAATTGTAAATAAAGAATTAAATATTACTAAACATTTTAAAACAATAAAAATATGCACTTACAATGTAATTATTGAGATAATGGAATGAATAGATAACGTTTTGACAAATTTGAACAAACATCTGATCCAATGAAAGGAAATATGGCAACACTGTACGCTGTATTTAATGCTTCGACTGATGCGTTATATGTATTTGAATAGCTCGATTATAGATTATAAAATTATTCCAGTCGAAAATATATGTAGTAATAATTAATATTAAATAAATTTTTCGTGATCTAAAGCAATATACTAGCAATTTGAAACAAAAATTGAAAGGATCTCTTTGCAAAACGAACAGTATAGATGTTATGTCATAATCTTCAATTTGACAAGTCGACGTCTCACTATCATACACTGAACTTCTTGATAGTTATCATATGGATTCTCGGTTTGCACATTTTATTTTATTCTCATCAATCCACATTCTCTTTTACACTCATTTTATATTACTTTTCAGTCATTACTTTTCCTTTGTACCTTGGTTGTTCATTCATGTTTACGGAATTCGCGCAAAGTTGACAGTAATGACAGTTGACCCAACTTTTACCACCACGCCATGGCAATGTTGCCAGATTTCCTCCATAATTTTACAAGCTCGTAATGAATAAATAGACGCTTTTATTCAAATAAAAAGTGAACTGACGTGTATTAAACACGAAAAAAATATGTAAGCTAATATGTGTTGTATAAATTTCATTCTAAATAACATACTTAATTCGCTGAAATTAATTTATGTAAGGTTGGTACTGCAACAAGACTCCCGTGTATAAACAGGCATACTCTCCGCACCGCCCGCCCCGCAAGAGGTGTATCGAACGTCCTTAATGATCAGATTTTTCTCAATTTCCAAGGCTTACTGGATTTTACGGATTTGAATTCGAACAGATTTTGTTCAACAGACAACAAGCAGGACTGAATCTCAAAAAACTGATGAATTTTGAAATACTGAGGTTTTAAATGATGCTGATTAAGCTACATCCAGATTTTAACAAAAAAACTGCTGCTCTCTGTACATATATGTTTTAGACGTTACGGCTATGCAACCTTACAAGCAGTCAAAAACAAAATTTAAGATTTGTTTCTGCCACCGTGATCCCTGACGAATGGCATGCTTGGCCTTTTAAGAAAACTGCCTCTTATATCCGCGCCTTTTCTCGAATAATAAGTAGAATGGAGTCCAGCGGTCTACTCAGATACTGGTACGTTGATTTAAATCGATTATTTTTTAATTTTTTTAATGTCTAAACCCAACTTAATTAATCTAAGACTGGCATAAACTTTTATTTAATGTTTTCTAAATAATTAAAACAGTTATCTGTTTTAGGTACACGAAGGACACAGTTGTTTATAACAATTATTTAAATAGCAAAACGCAATTCCGTAGAGAAAACAGGCCTCTAAATGTGTCCGATTTCTTTTATCCGTTCAGTATTCTAATAGTCGGCTACATAGTCTCTACAGTAGTTCTTTTAAAAGAATTAAAATCTAAGCCCTGTGGGAAATAAGTTTTTGGAATAATATCAGAATCATATATCATAATGTTTTGAAATATAAATAAAAATTTAAGCATTAATCATTCCGCTTTAATGTTTTTTAATCAATGTCCTGAACCATACTGTTATTTCTTTTTCACGTTCGACGATTATTATAACCTAATATTTTATTTTTACAAAACCTGTGTGGAGAATAAACGCTAATGTTAACTATATTTCTTTTTAATGTGTCATTATTGACATATTTTTTTGAAAAAGGTGTACCGCCCCTTAAGGAACACATTTATCAAGAACAAAAGCAATGTAAATAAAGTCCAAGCAAATTCGATGAAAGATCTAACTCTATCATTAAATAGATGTAATGATAACATTTACAATGGGATAGAAGAATAGTTAATTTAATCGATAATTTTGTCTTATTTTACTTACCATTATTATTTATTCAATTTATTACCTTTATTTTTGTAACAAATCATCTTTCTTGAAGCGTCGACTGTGTCGCCACCTATCGACGATCTAACTTCCTCCAAAACTGTGAGCAATATCTAAAATTAAACACAACCTGTTGTACACAAAGTCTTAGTTCTACACCATGGCTCCTAGATGGCAGGAACTATAATGTTTAAAATACGTTAGATATCCCAAAGTGTGACTAAAAGCAGTGGTTTTCGTTTGTATTTTGTATAGACAAACAAGAGTTCTTATAACGAATATGAAGGTTAGCCGATGTATTTTACAAACATCTTTGCGCTACAGGCTATATACGAGCTAAACATATCTACTGATTTCTGCATCAGATTTCTATGTAAAAGCGTTTTAAATACATATATTCAACTATCTCGTGCCCTTCCCTAGAGGTCGCTACAGTCTCTTGAAGGAAATGCTTTGAGCGATTTCCTAAAAGTAACTTTTGTACACCTAAATATCAATTAAAAATATTATTTGAAAATTTTGGTATTTAGAAACTCTTCCAAAATAACTTTTATTATTTATAATGAGTAACTACTAATATCTGGAATTTCAAGAAATAATTTTACGCCTTATTTTTAATTTGTAGATATTATTTTGTAACGTATAAATTAACGTCATAAAATGTGACATTAAGAGCCATCTCTAATCCTGGAGTTGAACTGTGTTTAAGCTCAATCAACTGTTAATAGATGGCTTTCTCTTTGTAATTGTAATAACGCGGCAAATTTAAAATTACTAATTGAACAATCGGTAATCAAAATATTTGAGATCAGTAACTGATTCAAGATTGGCTATTCACCCAAAATAACAAACTTTTTACAGCAAATATTAAATGCTAGAGATTCGATTGTAAAAATTTATATTTTCTTAGCAAAAATATGGCAGTTTGTAAACTGTAAGATAATGACAAATATTTACAGAAAATAATTAAAAAATACTTATAGGTACTCACATACGTGAAACATCCTATGCATAAAAAGTATTATTTACTTTTTTTATGTAAAAATACCTGTCGTATTATAAATATTAAACTAACCGGACAAATGACAGGCTTCAGTACAATGTATTTACCAAACGTTGGACGATGCATTATGTAGTATTTTATTTTTTGGATGTTAAAAATGGAGATACAGACAAAAAGTATATCTCCGACAATGGCGCCATTTTTGCACACGTTACTGAAAAAATGGAGGCGCTGTTACTTTTCCGTGAAATTTGTACAAAATAAATTATTTTACTTGTTTTCTCTGCAAGCCAGTTCCGCAAAATGAACCAGACTCCCATCGATAGGTACGATATATATATATATATATGATGGCGATACTGAATGTATACGAAAATGATTGTGTATAAATGTATATACTTACATTTTTCCTATTGGATAATAATACTGCACTTTTTTTTACTAAAAACATGAAAAAAAAAACAACTGATTCAATGTTAACACGAATTTTATTCAGTGGTACGAAGAAACAATCATCGGTACTCTTCAGGCAAGTAAGAATGCAAGGTATAAGTATTTCAAAAATGTATACAACTACGTATACAAAGATTTGATCTATACAAAGAAAAATATATAAGTAAACTATATTCTCTTTTAATTGCTACGTGATATGTACGAGGTGTCCCGATTCCACGAAATTGCAAATATTGAGCCTTTTACTGTGATAATTTTTAAAATTTTTCAGTTACCGAATATTAATAGTGTTAGCAAAATATTTCGATTACAAAAAATGCGGAATTATTCTCATTTTCGACATTTATTCATACTCCAGTCGAATCAGATCAGAAAAAACTGAAAAGTTGAAAAAATTATTAGTAGACATTTTTTTGCACTTTATGACGGGAAATGGTATCTAGAATGATAATATCAAAAATGTAACTCGAAAGAAGTGACGCTAAGTTGGCAAATTGCAAATAAGTAGGAAAATGATGTTTTTTCATTTCTTTTACTGTGCATGAAGATCTAGACGACGTATCGGAATACTGGTTATTTTATGCCGTAGGGAATTAAATTACCTACAATTTAAGGTACCTATAGTCATATTTCTTCAATATGTTAACTGTAAAATAAAGGTCGAACGGGGAAATATCAAATTTTCAAAAATTGCGCATTATTATTACAATTGTTTTTTAAAACGTTAATTTTAGAAGGTAATATCGTAGATATAGGTTCCAATTGGTCCAAAGAAATGTATCGAAAATGAAAAATTTCAAAAAGTTGAAATTAATTTGCCCTTTACAACTAACAAAGTAGGACGTGCAAAACAGCGTTATAAACAAATTGTGCCAAGGTCACGCAAAGCCGCTTGGGAATTCACTCTTTTTACTTTAAATAAAGCTTATTTTAACGCTAATTTAAAAAAAAAGAGAAATCACCTATGCCTCTTTGTCCCCTAGATAACATTTTTTAGTGCATAAACTGCAATAAAATGTTTACTATTAACTTTCTCACATTCAAACTCTAATTCGAATGGAGTATCAGGAAAAATAAAATTATTTGCAAATTTAGTAAAGCGAAATTAAAATATATTTCCAAATTTCCAAATAAAATAGTTGTGTTAGGCCGTTTGTGACATTGAGCACGTTACAATTTCTATTTAATAAAAAATATCGGACCTAACTTTGCTTCTTCTTTTTTATTGCACTAATGATGCGTACACCTATAAATCGGGACATCCTGTATATATACTTTAAAAATCTGGAAGCGCGTTTCAATACTCAAACGCATTACAAGTACTATGCAACGCACAACTAAAAACTAAAACTAAAACTATATAAGCACAAATTACAAAATAAAATCACATTTCTTATCAGGCTGCCGCCCAACCGCCTCTCATCTTATGAGCTTCAACGCTTAACCGATTATTAAAAACTAATCTCTAATGTTCCGTTCAACGTTCTATTCCATATTTATAAAATACTTGTCTCAATCGTTTACGAGCTATAATTAAATGAAATACCGACGTATTCGTAAATTCACAACGACTTTAATGAAAACAAATTATATTTCGTCATCGTAACATTGCTTTTGCAAAAACCTACGCGGTTTACCAAAAAAAAAAAAATCATTCGCCAAATTACGTAGTCCCTGAACGGGCAAGTTGCATGAAAATTTAGTCCATAATTGATTTAATGTGACAAATTAATTATATATGATCAAAATTAACACAACGAATTAAAGAACACAACTGATGTCTCGTCCGTCTGTCCCTGTCATTCTTCAAGATCCTCCATCGCACTAAATGACGTCACGAATTAGCGCGGCAACAAACACCCGTTCGAAACATTGTTTTTGCTCTTCTATTAATCACTGACAACTTCCATGAGATGTCTACATGATTAATATGAGGTTATCGATTATTTCTAGAGGTTTAAAAAATATATAAGCAAGTTGCCCATTATTAGTTCAAATGCGCCATCTAACCTCTCCCACTGGAACTACATAGTTCACATGGCTCACAACAGATGGCGATGTTCCCTTTTCAGTCACTTAAAATTCTGTAGGCTTTACGGACTAAAAATTCCTTACAAATTTATTAATTACCGCAACAGAAAAAATTACCGAGACGATTTTCGATCTTCTAGATGAGTGATGATTCCGTCGCATTATCGACGACAGAGAACTTCTGGAAGCGATCGAATACTTGCAGGATTAATAAGGCCGTTGTATCACAGGCAATACATGTTTAAAGCGATACGTTCGTTAGTATTACGATGGAAGTTATTCGAGTATTATCCAATTTCGATATGTGTCGATTCCTTAAACTCAAATTTTCTAAGTAATTTCTTTTCTAAATGAACACGTCTGAGATCTAGAGCCTTAACTACTTAAACAAAAAAGCTGAACAAGCAATATCCTAAACCTAAAATAAAAAGTAATACGAAAAAAATAAAAATGTAACGAAAAAGCTAAATCTAAAGAAATAAACTGCTACAAATAAAGATTGTTTTTTAAGATAATTGCTGAGTAACGTGATAAATATCTAAAAATTCTCGGCAAAATGCAGATAGAGGGCATAACTTTAAGTGAGGACCAACTTTCCCCAATTTTTAATAAAAGGTGTTTTGTTACTATTTTCTTAAAGCACTGTGTTTAGTTTGTGAATTTCAAAGTCAATGATCTGTTTAGGTGAACTACATATCAATCCACAAATAGTAGATAGTAACAAAATGTAACAATAAAAAGTCGAAAAAATTGTAAATTTCTTTTAATTCGACTGAAAATACAATAATTCACGCCCCTTATCTTGTATCAAAGAGCCAGAAACCAACCAAAGTCAAATTTAAACGAACACGACATCGGCAAAAAATTTAAATTTGCGAAACCCAACAAATTTAATCGAAATAGTTTACCGGTACAACCAGAAACAGCAGCAAACGACACCCAACGAACTTACTTTCTTCGTAACATTTTATCATTTAAGCGCTCATATATACAAATCCTGTACACCTAAAGGCAGCATCTCAAGCATTACGGCTAAATTGATTTAAGTCTATTTCGCTAAAGCTACAACAACGTAACCTGTCCGAGATTCGCTGAAATCACCATCTCCATGACGGCCTGGAAGACGACTTGCACGTTGGCCGTGTCGGTGGCAGTGGTGAAATGCGGGTACAATACTTTCCTCGAGTCGCCGTTCCTCAGAATGAACTTGTGCTGGATGAAGAGGGCCCCTCGGTCCACGTCCCGATCGGGGCCTTTACACAAGAAAATCGTAAGTCGGACAAAAACAATGAAAAATAATGTACGTAACACACAGTATACACCGTATGTTAAATGTCACTGATACTCGATGCCTACTAACACGAAATATTACATTGTACCTACTGGCGTAGGCTGTTCTGTGCGATTTAACCTACAAAGTATATGTCGTATGTTAAATGTCATTGATAGTCAATGCCTACGGCATAAAGCAGTACATTGGATCTACCGGCGTAGGTCGCTCTCGAAGATATAACCTACAAAGTATATGTCGTATGTTAAATGTCATTGATAGTCAATGCCTACGGCATAAAGCAGTACATTGGATCTACCGGCGTAGGTCGCTCTCGAAGATATAACCTACAAAGTATATGTCAAATCTTAAATGTCATTGCTACGTAAGACCTACTGTCATAGAACATTACATTGTATCTACGGTGTAGGTCGCTCTGTGCGATATAACCTACAAAATATACGTCGTTTGTCAAATGTCGTCAAACTTCTGAGGTTCTTAGTGACAGCAACACTACTGATTAACGTATTTATATTTAAATTCAATAAATTTTAACTAGTTAAACCATAACTTTACAATAAATGTCTACAGAGAGTTTTAGAAAATGTTACTTTTTTTTTAATTCACAAGTAAAATATTTTTTGGCTAAATAGCGAAAGTGACGTGAATCAACAGAACTATATGTTAAACTATTCAAAATAAAATTAAATAGAACATCAAAGTGTCGGCCTGTGGAGAGTATAAATGTTACAGTCAAACAATGTGTTCATATGTGAAAGTGACAGTGAGAAAAAGTGTGCGCAATTGTGTGAACACTCACCTTTGTAATCTGGAAAATAAAGCCTCAGGTGTCTCTGGGAATACAGAATCTTTTCTCGGAACAGATCGAACTTATTGAGAAACAACACAAACGAGGCTTCTCTGAAAAACGGATTATTCACTATCTGCCCAAACAAGTTTAAACTTTCTTCAAGTCTATTGACACTGGGGTCTTCCTGTGGAAAAAAAACACCTGTTTAAATGTTTGATCGTGGTAAAACACTTCCTGTCAAACTGGTTTAGTAATACGGACGATTTAGATATTAGATAAATGATTATTAATCTACTCATGCACCATATAGTCCAGGAAAGTTAGACATAAAAAGACGGAATAAGTGAACTTTGTTACTCTGATATTTTTTTATAGAAAATTGTAAGTTTTGAGGTTAGAAAACAGGTGTCGTACATGTAACCACCAGCAACATACAGCGTTTTGAAATATAGACATACATATATAATTTTTCGCGTTTTTTTTTGACTAAAATATACAGGGTGCAAGAGAAAAGTTTTCTCCCCAAAATTTAGAACACCCTGTAAACTGGACCAGCTAAAATAGTAAAGGTCTACTTGATTCAAACAGTAATTTTAGCTTTACGAAAAATTTGTTTTTTGAATCATGTCATTATCTCTGTTATTATATGAGCTACAAATTAAAACACACTAGTTTCCTGTAAAAAATATGGAGGCATTAATCGATACCAAGAAAATTTTTAACCAGAAAGTAGGCTATGCTTTTTCTAATGTTTTTGACATGCTAAACATGAATTCAACCTCAGAATTGCGTCGTCACGTCATGTTTTTGAGACATCCTAACCTAAAGGTGCGAAAAACGTGGTTTTTAGCAATAATGAAGATTAGGCTACGTCACAAGGTAAATTTCTTCACAAAACTCGTTATTTTATAATAAAATTATACTGAACATAAAAATCTCTCACGTTTTCGCTTATTTATTTTCGTTTATGCTTGACGAAAATTCTCCAAAATTAAATTCTCAAACGTTTCACCACTAAAAGCGTATATCCAAGCTTCGATATTCATCGTAACATATTTTACGTAGATCGTACTTACCAGTAAAGTCATATCGTATCCACTAAGTGAAATAACGAACAGTACGGCTCTAACATCGTCGAAACAGTATATCCACTTCCTTCTCTGAGATCTCTGCCCGCCAACGTCGTACATGCTGACGATCATATCGTCTATTCGAAACTGAGTTTCTATGATGCCTTGAGTACGTACTCTCGCTCTGAGTACATCAGTCGGGTTCGGCACATATTTCGGATCACAGATTCGTTCCATATTTTCAAATAAACTACAAGGAATGTTATTAATAACCGAGGAAAAGAGGTAATCGTAAATACGTACTAAAGCGCAGAGTCGTTTAATTCGTATTCGTAGCCTCTGGCTACGGCTAACCTAACACCCCTATCAGACCATAAAGCTTGCAAAGAAGCTGCCACATTCGGAAGCACCATAAAACTCATATCGAAACAGCTTTTAGCCAACAATACGGTTTGAGCGTGGATCTAAAAACACGTTTACATAGTAAAATATACTATAAATATTTTATGATCTTACCTTATTCCTAGAATGTTCTAAATTTATCCTTAAAATGCCCATACCAGCCAGGACGTACTTCATAGAAGCCAATAGATTGTCCAGGACCGTGGGCCTATAGCTGCTCAATTCAGCATGAGTGAATCCATCCGCGTGGATAATTTTCATCTGTTTCACTAAGGTACTTTTCCCACTTTCACCAGCACCTAAAGCAACCACATTGATTAAACATACCACTTAAATCATTTTTAAATATATCTCAAACATACCAAGAAGTAATATCTTGATAACATTACTCTGCAGTTTAGCAAACTCTCCCAGTTGTCGGTCAATCTCTTCGCTGCGCTTTCTAGCTTTACCCTCTTCACGTTCAAGCGTTAGACATGCCCCCATATCGAGTACATCACGCTAATTACTGAAAAGACCGTTTAACTGTGTGGGAATGTGTTTATGTTGCTCCCAGCATTGCCAGTAAAATTATTAATAGACTTCAATTAAAATGTTTCACGAGATCTGTTTAATAAGTTCACAAGGTCAACCCCTACACGCTAAACTTTCTCCCAGTACTTCATAACCGTTGTAATTAGGGAAGCTTTTGGTGAACCAACAATAAAACCGACTTTAATAAACAAACAGTGAATAATATGTTAACAAATGTTGCACAAAGCATGTAAACAATTTTTTGATGTGCTTTAAACCACAGTAGCGCCATCTACGTATATAAGTGCAAAGCAGCTGTGGATTTGTTCCAGTGAAACAGATTTCCTTAATAGTATTTTTTTTATTTCAAGATTTCTTTACTATTATCAAAAAGGATTTTAATAAGTACTAACAATTACCGTTAGATTACGCCATCCCTAACCAAAATACGATTTGAGAATTATTTAGAAAATAAAATAAACTATACCCATATAATAACGAAATTAAGAGATTATCCACTTTTGCTCACAAAGTAAGTTTAGACATAAGTTTTGAAAATCGAAGGAATCGATTTTATTTTGTTACAAAAAATCGTTTTTTGTGTGTATGTTAAAGTGAAGTTGAAAAACACTTGTTGCGTTTCTTCATTTCATTTGAAAAAAGGTTTTGGTCGGTTGTGTGTTACTTGTGCTCCACAAATTCGTTAAAATGATCAAGTTTTTGAATTCTTTCAAATCTCTCATTAAGCTAAAACAAGTCCACATTGATAATAATGTATTCAAACTACATTATAAAGTGACTGTAATTTTACTTGTGGCTTTTTCTGTGTTATTAACCACCAAGGAATATTTCGGAGACCCAATAGATTGCGACGTTGAGGAAAGGAAGGAGGTTATCGATACCTTCTGTTGGATTTATGGAACTTTCATAGTGAAAAGAACCCTGAATGGTAAGAACAACACATTCCTAAAAAGTGCAAGCTTTCTGTATTAATAATATTGATTTTTTTGTAGATCCACATCTACCAGGACTTGGCCTTTCAGTTAATCAGGATCCCGAAGCTGTAACTAGGCAAGTTTACTATCAGTGGGTATGCATTGCTTTTTGCATTCAAGCCGTAATCTTCTACTTGCCGAGGTATTTATGGAAAATGTGGGAAGGCGGAAGACTGCAGTTCCTTGTGAAAGATTTAAGTAAGAAACTATATTTTTGGACTATGTATAATATTGAAAAATTCCTCTCAACGAATGTTAAGAGGAACTCTATTAGAAATCATTGTTTGAAAGGTTAAAAAAAATTTAATTTTACTGCGTTTTGTTCAAATTAATTTTTCTATAAATTTTTTATGGTTCAAAATGTTTGTTATTCATGAAGGACAAAGGAAATGGAAATATTAAATAATTTACGATTTGTTATAAATTTACTCTTAAATAAACAAAGGGGACACTTGGCAGACACTGAATTTATGTGTTTATATTATAAAAACCTTTAATTGCATGATTAGTTTATTAGAGAGGTTCAAATCACTTGAAAATCTTCCTCGCTTGTTTTATTACGATAATATACAGGGTGTCAAATAACGAATGTTACATACTTCAAGGGTATAATCTAAAACCCAAATGGTGTAGATTTAACCAAATGTTGCAAAAAAGTTAGAATGAAGTTTCTTTTTTTATTTCTTGTTTTCTTCTTAACTCGGAACCTAGTTAACCGATTTGAGCAAAATTTGCTGTTGCTTAGTTTCTCTTCATGAAGTATGCAGTGATTATGTTCATATTAGGCTAAATTATACAGGGCGTTCATTTTACTACAACCTTTCGTGAATATTCTTCAAATTAGTAAATGATTTTTTTTTTAAGCTGGTCCTGTGGTGACCCCAGATTGGAACAGCGCGAAAAAAGAGACTCTAGTTAAATATGTACTAAACGGAAAGCAAGTTCACAACATATATACAGTACGTTACAGCTTCTGTGAGTTTCTAAACTTTATAAACGTGGTAAGTACAAAAAATAAATGCGGATTGCCTCGAAAAACAATGTACTCGGATTTGAAAATCGACCGATGATACTGTAACTCTTCTTTTCAGGTGGCGCAAATATATTTCATGGACTGGTTCATAACGGGGCACTTCTCCGTGTACGGGATAGCCTACGCCACATACAAAATGTACAGGCTGACGAATCCGATGAACGAGGTGTTCCCGAAAATCACCAAGTGCACTTACTTCAAAATCGGTCCTTCGGGCACAGAAGTAAACCGTGACGCCCTTTGCATATTGCCGTTAAACGTCCTCAACGAGAAATTCTTCTTAGTCCTGTGGTACTGGTTATTTATCCTACTGGTCCTTTCATTCTTATCCTTGGTGTACAGGGCGTTGTTCCTGTTTGTGCCCATGTTCAGGGTGTACTTGCTGAGGGCTCAAACCAGGAGTTTGGACAAGAAGAAGTCGGAGATCGTTGTGAATCATATAACGTACGGAGATTTTTTTGTGTTGTACAAGATCGGGAAAAACGTTAACCCGATGTTGTATAGGGACTTAGTCGGAGCCATCTACGATCAAATCGCCGGTAAGGAGTCGCCGTTTAAGAAGCTTTCTCCTCCGAGTACCTTCGATGAAGTCTGAAATTGCGGCGTGGGAATGTCATTACACAATGATTCGAGTTGGTTTACTTGTTGAAAACAGAAAAATCTTTAATTTTTGTTAAATTTTAGCGTTGCAATAGAAAATTCCCTTAATTTCATATTAACACAAAAGTGTTCCTTTGATTTCGGTAAGCCTTAATTTCAAAACTGTTACTTTCTACAGTTAAAGGAGATGTTACACGAAAATTTATTTATTGTTTGGGTATTTGTTCGTTTGTTGCTTTGTTCTATTTATTAAAAAGTTGCGTTATATTTTGTGAAACGGTTATTTATTCGGTTTGGTTTAATCTAAAATCTCGTTACTTTAAAATATTTTCATTAGTTCTAAATGTTTACTAGTTTAATTTATGTAAAAACCTCCTAGATATTCAAATTTCCGAAACTTTCCAAGTTCCCATTTAGCCTTTGTTATTTAATAGAATAGAAAAAATTGTTACTTATTTTTGATACCTGTATTTTTAAAGAAATATATATTTTTTCTTACTTAAAATCAAATTGTTATAAACGCCACATTAGAGCTTACAAAGATTTCGTTTCAACAGTTTGGTGAATGGCCACAAACGATGTAATTGTTAAACAACTTATATGCGAAAGCAATTTTTTTATTTTTGCTCATTTACAATGAATTTTTTATACCTACAACGTTTTTGTTTTAACAATTTAGTGGAAAACGGTTACATTTAAAACAGTTTGTTGTGTTTTATTTATACAGAATTTTGATACTTTGATTCATCGTCAGCTATTTGAGCCTTTTGTTAATATAAACTTGTAAAAGTCCCATAAATGAAACCGCGCCGCGCGCCATTATTCTATGGCTAGAAATTGGCCTCAATGATTTGGGATCGAGGGGGATTATCCCTCTTTATCCTGCCTCATCTCGTGTAGGCCTGGACAGCCTTCGTAGGTGGGCCCCATCCGTCGTCTACCCCGACCGCAAATGCGGCCGGTGTAGGCGCTTTGTGGGACCTCCTTTTGTCCTGGCTGGGCCCCGCCGGCTAGGGCCCTTTCTTCTGGCGCTCTTCTTGCTTCGCCGGCTCGTCTGTGTAAACCCCGGGGGTAGTGTCATGTTTATGTGTGGTATGGTTGGGTAGGGTAGTGCGGCTATGCAGCCTGGGATGCGCTTTGCTAAGGTGACCCTTAGGCTAGCGAGGGAGGGGAGGGTTAAAGAGGGTATGGGGGGTGTGTTTGTGTGTGTCGTTCTCTTCGTTTCTTGATCCTGGCTGTCTCTGAAACAGAAAAGGTTAGCGGGCAGGGGGGGGGGGGGGAAGGCGGAGGGCCCCCGGGGTCAAAAAGTTGGTGTCTAGGTCTTTTGTGTTTGTCGGTCACGTCGGGTACGTAGTCAACGGCTTGCCTGAGGAGGGGATTGTCATGTCTAGCGGCTACGTCAAATCGTTTCTCCGCGTTTTGTCTTATTGTCTGTGTAGCGTTTGTGTATTGTAAGTCTCGTAATATGTCAGTGTTTCTTACGTACCAGGGCGCGTCGGTGGCCGTGCGGAGGGCTATGTTTTCCACAGCCTGTAATGACTTTAAGTGGCTTTTTGCCGCGTGACCCCACGCCGTGGAGGCGTAGGTTAGCTGCGGTTGAAGTACCACCTTGATAAGCGTTCGCTTATTCCTTAAACTGAGGGTGTTTCCACCTTTGAGTAAGGGATAGAGCCTAGCCCTGGTGGTCTTCGCTCGCGCCACCGTCTCCACGATGTGCGGTTTCCACGTGAGACGCTGGTCCATCGTCACGCCCAGGTATCGTGTTTGTCGATAAATGAATGAAACCAAATCGTAGCAAACGGCATATTAGAGCCTACAACGTTGTCATTCCAACATTTGTGAAAAATATAGTTTATACATATAAGTGGATGATTTTATGTTTATAATGAATTGTTTATACAAAAATGTTCATGTGTCATGACAAACAGTATTCTATTTCAATTTAAAATCCTCAGCTACTAGTCCTCTTTTATTATTTAACAAACTTCTCAGATCCATAGATATATGGGTAAACAGTATTAAAGGAATGTAGGTGAAACATAAACATAACCTACAAAGTTTACGTCATATTAATGTCATTGTTAC